GTATCATTGATTCCAGGTTCCAATGTCATTTCGAACTCTTCTAAATGAGTTCACAACTTTTGCAGCTAAAATTGTAGCTGTAAATTATAAACGTGTTCGGACAATGAGACACGAATTAATAGAAGGAGAATACATCCGGTGCTACGACAACGGTATGATGTATGTTGTTGATACTTCACGTGCACGATGTGCTTGTGAGCGTTTCAATGACTACATGCTGCCCTGTGGTCATATTTTGTATGCACATTCTAAAGATCTGATTCGTGTAGGTATGTGTGTTCCTCTATAAGTTTTGTAGACTTATTTCGACATAGCAACCGGTGGACAAGAAAATACATAATGGACCTAGTTCTTCGTGCGCTGGACAACATCTCAATCTCTACAGGGATTGATGATCTGCTAGAGAAGTTCACTAGCAACAACCACTCAATCCATGCTTTTAGTGAACCTTTGGCAATAAACGCATCCGTTCATGTCTCGAAGCATCGGAAGACATATGCGCACAAGTGATGAGTTCAGTCGGTGCTAATGATGAAGCTACAACGTCAGAATTCATTGTTAATACAGACCATAGCTATGCTTCTTGCTAACAAGAAGTTCTAATATTGTAATCTTTTTAGTTTTACATAAATTCAATTATATGGCCATTGACTTAATCTTATAGCGTAACGGCAGGGAGTGTACTGTGCAGTCTTATGTGGCTGTGAGAGAGGGATGTTGTTTCGCGTTCTTGTGTAACAATTACCAGTTTGGCGCACACGCGATTAGTCATACTTACCGTTTACTAAATACTGCTACCTTGAACATGATGTACCATACTAGTAGTTCGAATTGCGACCTGTCACGATAGATAAGAATTGCCGTAATTCAGAGACTGGTGCGTTATAAATGAAAACGTTTATCAAACTTTGAATCTAGCACAAATGATCCATTAATAAATAACTTCTATTTCTCACGAATTGTTCCCGTTAGGTCTGTGAACACTTGCGAAGCTAGCTGGAAATAAGATAGACAGGAAAGTTATTTCAGTATAAATGTTTACCAGAAACTAGTATAAAAACGCAAACCAGTATTCAATTACAGATCGGAAGTGCATTTAGCACACCCTTCCTTTGAATAGTCAATCACGCTTATTTCCTTTATCTGTTGCGTTGCTTAGGAATATCTGGTTCACAGCATACTCGGATTGTATTATTTAATTCTTTGAACAGGTTGCACTTGGGAAACTTAGATGATGAACATATATAAAGACTACTGTGTGAATTTACTGTGAATCGTCCTATGTAACCTGCAATTATTGATGCATATTCTATTGTAGTCCCACGTAAGTTATGAGTAATTGTCATTAACGGCATCAGCACGTAAGCTAGACAGGCCTTGGTTGATTTCCGAAGATCATCACATAGGATCTCACACAATCTGGTCACCTTAGATCAAGATATCTTGATTATCGAATCGTAATTTTCAATGCTTTCTCGTGACAGCTTTATATCAATACTTATTTCTGATATTAGGTATTTTTGCAATAATACCGGCAGCCAAAACATTGAAGCTCCCCAGACAACCCAAAAAGGGAAAATAAAGGGGTAAATGCTTTGGTAGCGAAAGGAAAACGCATCACAATGTCGCTTTTTTCGCCTGTCCGGGGGAAATAATGTGGATTTCCCCTTTTTCGCCGTTTCGTCGATAAATTACTCACTTTTAGCATAAATGTCTGCCAAATTACCGAATTTTCGCCTAACTGTCCGCATAATTGTCTACTTTTCGCCTAAATGTCCGCTGAATTGTTTACTTTTCGCCTAAATGCACACAGAACTCCCTGTTTTCCATCCATTGACATAACCCCAAAGGTCTCCTATGTTCGCCTTTATTTTCAACAACAGACCAAAATAAATCTGCAATACAGAGGAAAACCGGCATATTTTTGAAAATTTTTATTTAAAAGGTAAAGCGTATTATTGTACAACACTAGAGCAGAAGCTTAAGCATCGATTGTTTTGCATATCCAATGCAATTGCTAATTCATTGTTATATGAAACTATCTGCAAAAGAAGAAACACGTGATGTATTATTTATAAGCAATGTGCATTTATTCAATAGTTCACTGACACTCAAACACACATTTTCAACACTTCTACAGCTTCTCACGTAAGTAAAAAAGTAAGCTGTTTGAAAAATAATATTTATTGAAATGTAAGTATAACATCAAAACAATTGCACGGCTATTGAGAATTAAAGTAGTCGTCCCGTGAATTCTGAATTAAAAAAAAGAAAAAAGTTACAACCATATCTCAATGACATGCTTTGATACAGCCAGATACATGTGTACATCTACACAAGAGGTAGTAATACTTGGTCTCTGGTAAAACCTCCACATAATTATACATCTACCGCATGATTATGATTTATTTCCTACAATACAATCATCTGGTGGCTAATATATCTAACTGTAGGAGGCAATATTAACATCTTGGTATGTGTTAACACATAATAATTATTATCATCTATAGCATATACATAATATTTACAACACTCAGGACACTTAATGTTTTCACTATGAAGCTAGTTCTGCCATAAAAGTCGAACAAAACAGTGAAAATCAGCAGAAATTGTGATAAAGATGGGAAAAACGATAAATCTTAACATGGTATCGTTAGTTGTAACGCAGTTTTGGTAGCCCTGACAACAATACAATTTTTATGACGATATATGCCTGAATCTTGCTATTTCATATAAAAATAATAGATTTGCCTACCATCAGTGTATACTTAACCAGAAACAATTGCTAATCTGCGATGCAAACACCGAAAAACTATTATAGCAGCACCTGAATAATGAATTTTCAAGGACTTCGCGATACCATGTAACGCAAAATGAAAAAACCTCTTTTTACCTAATTATGAAAACGGAAAATAGATTTTCAAATTTATTCATAATGTATTTCAAAATTTGGTTGTGCACAAAGCAGAAATGAAGAAGTAGCGCAAAAAAGTGTAGCGATACCCCTGGAGCGCTGCCCTGGAATTCGCTGCCCGCCGAGCTAGTCCAAGCGGCTTCCCAGGAGTCCTTCCAGAGGCAACTAGATCTATTCTTAAGGATTAATGATAGTATCACACGATGATTTACTAGTATTTTTTCCTAGGTTTCTGCCTGGAAGTTTTGGTGATCCCCTGCTACTAGACACGGAAGCCTGTTAAGCGAAAGCTTCTATTCAGTCCACAACCATTTAAACACATGAACTAGGCGCTGAGAGACTCGCTTATCACAAGTTTCTTGCAACGATTAAGTAGATAAAAAAAGTAGCATTATATTCAAAAATTTATTCAAGAACTTTTATTAAGAATCGAATATCAAACAAAGGTTTAAACCAAGTTCCCGTTTTCAAGTTGTATTGGTAATGTTGAGCCGCAGTTTTTGTTGTTTTTTTCCAAACGAAAGAATTAAAGACTTAAAAAAATACTGGAAGTGGTTGTGAGACTAAAATGGACGTCCAGGATACTTTTTATAATCTGCTGTTAGTTGGGTCTCCCGTAAACAGTTCCATAGGGCCATAGTTCTAAGGACGAAACAGTTTTTAGGATCTTTTAAGACTCACTCCTGTTGCATTCTAAATGAAAAAAATAGTGATGAATTTAGTCAGAAATGTGGAATAGATAAATAACCAAATTACATGTTTTTTTAGCAAAGAATTTATGCAGTTATGATTTACCTTGAGTTCATGAATATTTGATAAGGTCAGATAATATTACCTGTGCAAAGCATAACATGGGCTTAGTACCTTATTGAAATGCTTTTATTATTTTGCTCCCATTTAAGTATTTCCATACATCTGCGTCTAGTTTAACAGGAAGACATACAAGCAGAGTTAGTGTCTGATAAACTAAAATTCCCAGTTGTCAAAAAGATTTTCAACATTTGTCCACAGTCAGCTGCATTTAATTGAGACACAGAACACTCATCTCCTAAGACTGTATACTGCTTTTTTGCGGGCAACTAAAAGCTCAGACACTTAGCTATCTTGCTACCGATGTTATTGCTGGGGAAATTGTTTAATGACAGTGATCATGAAATATGGATAGATGTACAGTCTAGAAATAAACAACAAACATACTTATCGCTATCTTATAATGTATAACAGCAACAGCATCAAAGGCACGTTTTTTCCCTTTTTTAATCAGACTGATCTGAATCAGTATACTCATTGGAAACAGGCAACTTTATTTACTAAACCGATCTGTTTCGTTACAGGCTTCAAACACCATACTTAAGTATACCATAATTCTTTCAACTAAACTGAATTATACGACAACCAAAAATACTAAACTAAGCAAGTGTCATAGTTATTGTTTCATCTGCACAGACATGTTGCTCAAAGTAGTTAAATTGACATAATTAAGCCGATAAAATCAAAACACGAAATATAGGCCAGTTAAACTTACCTAACAGAAGACAAAGGATATATATATATATATATATATATATATATATATATATATATATATATATATATATATATATATATATATATTGCTTTCCAACTGAAGACAACAGGCAGTTGTTCACAAAATCATAGTTTACAGTACAACAAACCTTTCTTCAGTGAAATCATGCTCTGACAGTCTATCTGGAAACAACCAACTGTGTAAATAAACTCACTATGACTTGAGATATCATCCCAGCGTGCAATGGACGTACAGTGTAACGCAGTCGGACTTGGCGAATAAAAATATGAAAAAGATCAAAATTAGCTACATAATCTAGTTATTTAATTAAAAATACATTATGAAATGACAAAATCTGTAGTTAATTGAACGAACAGATGACCCTGGGCGATACATTAAGTTTACATGGTTGCGTTGCGGATAAGTTCACTCGTGATTAGTCACTTGTTATTCTGTATTTTATCAAAAAAGAGTGTTAACGGAAGAAAACAGAAACGCTCTTCCTTTACGAAGCTAAAACATTGAGATAATTACTCGGACTTATTTCATACAGAGATTTGTTTTAGCTAATTGAAAATATTACAATAACAGTAACGAGTAGTGCACAGCTTTGAGCTGCTGGACTGCATTCTGGACCTTAGGCTACCAACTCAATATATGAATATTAATTCAGTCGTGATGAACTATTGTGAAAACTCTAATTATTCAGATTTCCTCCCACTATTTCGTCACAACCAAGTTGAGTTTACTATTGTCGGGCGAATGTTACGTCAAATAATCATCGTGAATTTACTGACACTGAGAAAAATCCTCTGTATGCAATAAGTTAACCTTGATGGTTTTCATCTACACGCAGTTTTATATCACTGTGTAAAGTTCAAGGTGGAAGTTAAAAGGAACCATTTATTCCGTCACAATAATGTCCGTTACAGTTGTAGCGGACACCTAATTTTCATATTTTATTTGCAGCTATGGATAACTCAGTAATAAATGTTTTCACTCCTGACATAACGGATTAGGTTTGTCGAACCCAAAGCTACTAAATAACCGGGATATAAAGACATTTTTAAGGTTGTGGTCGAATAGATAGATAATGTACACTATCTATCCTACGTAGGATACCACTGCACACCATTTGATTAGTCTTTGTGTTAAGTCTGGAGAGTAGTATGGTATTCAATCTCTGACACGAAAAATTTCGAATTTTGTTTTGACAGTCTGACTTTTAAGATTGTATTGCTGTGCGCAAGACTCTTCTAAGGTTGAATTACTTGAGTATTTTTTTTATCTAGCCGATTTTTTTGGGAGAGTTTTCCTTCCATCATTTATGGGGAAATTTATAACTTTTCAGATGTTATATACTGTTCTTTTTGCCTTTCGGGGTTGGCAATTATACGAAAACCCGAAACTATGTGGTTTAAATGGTTCAAGTTTTGTCAAACTGCGACGCAATTAGGCACTTCATCAAGAGTTTTCAAGGCTGGAACCATGTATTTAATGAATATTTTTAGATTGCGACTGTAGTACTAGATCTTCTTTTAATTGATGGTTAATCTTTGTTCATGATTTGTGATCAACTTTAAATACTGATGGTTAGACATATAAGCAAATATATGTTAGAAAACAGACTTATGTAGTTTAGTTTTGTTTAAAATACAACAGTTTTCAAAATGCTTTTTCCGGAATATTATACTGTATTGCGTTATGTAACTTACAGAAGAGATTAAATGGGGAACAATACAATGATCGTCAAGTTGCCAGACATCACATGGAGTTTTTATTGAACTTGAGATTTGATCAATCAGTGTATGACGAAATATTGCCAGTGTCGTTAATATCATCACAGGATAAATTGTGGAACTCTTATAAACCGTTAAATAAAGTATGCTCTTGTTTTTATGTGCAAAGTTGACTATTTTTAGGTTCACTACATAAGGAAAACTGGACTCGGAATAAAATGTGGTTCTGGAATTTTCTTTCCAAACAAGTCGGATACAGTGAACTCAAAACTCGTTGTGAATTATAATCAAGTATTTTATTTTGAAGGCTTTCCATTCGCTTAATCAAAATATTTTCCTGCTCAATATTTTGTGGTGACTCAAAATGTTGAATGGGAAAAACATTTCTAAAGGTCCATAGATTTATTGTCTAATAACTGGATATTTGAAGGTATTAATAAAGTTTGTAGAAATTTACCGGTGATTTTGACACTATTTGTTTTAAAAAAGACTACTACCTGGAAGTGCCGAGCCAAGTGTCTAGGTGAAGCCCGTAAATTTCGTGCTCATCTGTCTTCGATTTCCTTTAAGTTTGTTGTTCCTGTCAACGCTCAATGTCCTAATACCTGTTTGTCTTCCGAGAAACAAACTTAAAGAACTTCAGTAGTCGCGTTGTCTGAATTTGTCGTTTTAAAGTTTCTTCACACATTTTAAACGTTTGAGTGTCGTACTGCAACTTTCATTTGAGCTGGAATGACCTTATTTATCTGTTTTACAACTTTAGGTTGACGCCGGATATGGTTTTCATCAAAAAAGAAACGTAACACAAATGGCATTGTGAGTTTATGGCTCTTTTATTTGCCGCTGAATTAGGTCAAAACGACCGCCTGTTATAATTAAAGGAGCTTTTCAAAATGTTGGAGTTAGTTGTTTTATTTTAATTGATGATATGAAAACCCAACTACGCCGTAGTTTGTATTCAATCTATTGATTTAGAATAACTCTTTAATGGTTACATTTTCTGTCAATTTCTTATAACTGACAATTTTACCAGGCACTGATTAGTAACAATATTTTTGGTTCAAACTAAATCAGTTGATGCCAAGTTGGTCTCAGTAAAACAAACAAAATTGGGCTACATTTGTTTTATAGAAATAGTCTTTAATCTAGACATTCTAATGTTGCAACTAATGCTTCCTTAAAAATCTACAAACATAGATTAATGCCAAAAAGGCAACAAAAACGTTTTTATATCCTTAAAAGGGTTGAATTTTCAATATATAATTTATCGAGTGACAATTTAAAAGTTTTAGGTATTTGAAGCATAGGTTTATTATTGTTATTATTATTACTATTATCATGATTATACGGATACAGGATAAATTTTGCCAAACGTAGTTTCACTTCCAAACGTTGTTATATTTTACTGCCAATAGACATATTGGTGCATTGTAATAGAGTGCACTCTAAAGTATAAACAGGCGTAAATGGGTTTTAGTCTAAATTTGCAATTTTAATTTATTAGGATGTTTAGATCATCAAATTATTCGTTAATATGTTCACGAGTTCATCAAATGTAATCAAAAATAATAATGATAAATCCACAATTCAATGGATTTTTAATTAGCTCAGTAGATTCTCTATAAAACATTGTTCTTCTTATATTTAATAAACCTTATGTAGGCCTGAGACATCCAATAAAAAGAAAATTCACAGTAAATCAAAATCATGTTGCCAGGAATCGAACAAATTGGGCGTAAAAGGTTGGTTCCTCACTGTTGATTTTTCCATTTTACTAATAATACAGTAGATGAAGCGAAAGGTAGGTAGCTAAAAGACGATTAAATTTATAACTGTGAACAAAAATAGGGCGGCATATACTTGAAGTTATCTATTTCGCCCTATGGAGTTGAGATTCAAATTATACTTTTCAACTTTATTATTAATGTTTCAAATGTGTGACTAATTTTACAAAGAAACTTAACTAATTAGCCTTATTACAAATGAAAGCAACTTAGTACACATAAAGGGACGTTTGATAGATGAAAATGTGTCGATATTGGCGCTTTTCAAACGATGTGATATGAAAACTAGTGATAACTACCAAGTAGTACATTTATAAGAAGATTGAGAAACGTCCAAATATCAAATGACAAAATGAATTTTAGTCAGTGTTATTTGTGCATTAATAGTGTATTTACCTTATTGCCTAATGGCCATCGTGGTTAGGTGAATTATTCCAGTCATGATCCGTACATTTTAGTATTTTGCTGAGATTTAGGCAAACGATTTGGGAGGATTCTTTGTGCCTCAGTTTAAAGGGATTTGTCTTTTAGTGGTCTTAGTATGAGACAAATAGTAGAAGACAGCACACAACAATTTTCATTGTTCGTTTAAGATAAAGGCTGTCAGCCTTCTAGTCATTAACTAACAATGCCAAATGTATGCAGTTTTAGCTCCACACAGCTCAGAATTGACACAGAAACTAAAAAAACTAATAAAAAGAAAAGTGGAATGAAGAGCTAGTTGAAAATAGAGAGAAGCAGATACTACTGCAGAAATAATAACGTTGAGTAGCAACTGCCTGAAAATCCAGAAGATGATGGAGAATAAATACATCTGTTGTAGATTTATGCCTCGGGTATTCATCTTTGATTGAAATCACTGAGCAAGTAAAAACCTGGAAGTTTGCAGCTTATTTCGGAAAGTCAATGACTTCATAAACCTATGCCATATCATGATCTCGCCACACCTTTTACTTTTTCAACTTCCTCTTATACGAGGCGATCACTTGGTATTCTCATTACACTCCCTAGCACAATTAGTCTAAGAAAGTTTACTGAATCACTTATCTTTTTGGTGATTTTTCCTGTAAACCTAAATTTAATCTCACTATCATTAACATGGCAATCTCACCGTATGCAATGTTTTTAAGCTTTTGAAATACCTATTTCGACTTAAGATGCGTACACTCGTATTGATGGAAAGATAGACGCCGGCATTTTGCTAGCATCTTCAGAAAAACTACTCAAGATTTCAAGACATTTCATAGATAGGTTTAATTGTTTTAACAATTGTGTGCTGGGTAAAAACTCATCTTTTAAAATATTTTGTAGCCACCATGAATTGCACAAAGGCAATATCAAAAATAAATTCACAAACAAGACTGTCAGGGTTTCATTTTGATTTTTTAAATATCCCCACATTGATAAACTGTGAGAATCAATCAGATAGCTATTTTGTGGATAATTTTCATAAAACATCAAAAAACTATAAGTCAGAGGTAAGTGCATTTTCAGGTAAGTAAACTTGAAATTCCGAAATAATTTGGGGCTTGAAATAAACTAAGTATATAAGTGAATTTTCGACTACTTCGAATCAAATAGTTGATAGTTTACTTTGATATCGAACCATTATTCACTACTGTATGAGCACTGTGAATAATTGATAATCTATAGACCTTCATACAATTATTTACTTGATTTTAAGCAAATTCGATGAGTAGTTGTGATACGAAATATTTTTATACTAAGTTATGTATCTGGATAAAGTGTTCCTAAAGTTTCTGTGTTTGGATTGGATGTTTCAGGTCAGTTGGCTGCTCAAAGATTTTAAGTTTTGATAGACGTATTGTGCATTTTTAAGAAAAATAAACGATCCTTAGCAGCTTTAAAATTGTTTATTTAGTTAGCTCATATATGTGGCTTGTACTTTACATTTTACACTTAGAGATTAAAGAAATCTATTGTAGTGGTATAAGATAACCTGAAAGTTCTTAATTTGACTTCCTAGAGCGTTGTGGATAGACAGTGGCCAGAAGTAATATACTAAGACAAAACAGCTGCCCAATGCCCCCAAGTTCCCAATGTTTGTCTAACTTGGGTCGCTTTGCGAATATTGATAGATACTTATCTCATTATCACATTAATTTTAGTGCTTGAACTTTGAAGATTCATTGAAGTTTAGGAAAGTTTTGAAGGAAGAGTTATATAGTAATCTTTTTGATCAAACAACTATGAAATCCGAATTAAAGAACGCTTGTAAGCCTGTGTTATTTTTACTCTGTATTTTATTTCATTGTTCTACAGTAAGTGAATTTCAATGTAGACAATGTTTATGCTTTGTGTTCTAAAGAACTGAAATAAATAAACTTATAGGCTATGTTGTAAGTCACTCCGATATTTGCATTTAATAGTCTATACAAACCTATCAACTAACATTCTAACTTGTATCACTACAACAGAATACTTAATCGATATAAAAATGCTAACTAAACATCAATTTGTCCAAGTTTCATTGTCAGATTAGAATTCAGATGTTTTCAAATACATTAAATGTTTTTGATGAGTCAACTGTTGTTCATTTACATCGCGCTACAGATCGGGAAATTCTTTTTTGTGTGGACACAATTACTTTAGGTATTTCCATTTTTTTTAAGTTTGAAAAAATAGCTGAATACATCAGTGAGATTTGTAATTCTACTTGACTGCAACAGAATAAACTTAAACCTGGAAACATGATATATTTATTTCACCATAGCTAGAGGTTACGTAATAGTATGAACTTTGATTATTGTGTTGGGTGAAATCCAGGACCTTTTGGTCTCTCAAGTGGCTGAAGTATTCCAACGAAAATTTTTAATTACTGTATGGATTAATAAATATGGTTACTACTAGCTAGCCTTATTGAATACAACTAATGGACCACAAGTAATTGTTATTTTCTGATTACTCTATGCCTTAAAGAGCTATAAAAATATCGGGTGACAAGAACTGTTGTAACTGATAAGATAATTACATCAAAGCACTCTAGGACGACACATGACCAGTCAATGAAACCAATAGTCAAATCAGAGCTATTGCTTCAGTTTTATGATCTCAGTTAATTTACCGTTGTCTTTTTATTAAAATATCAGTTAAATAATGTCTTCAGAAATAGTCTCTAGCCTGACGTTTGCTCAAACAAAGTGGCTAACTATGAACATTTCGTAGAATGCTTTGAGTTAGATTTAGGATATTTGATATGTTCTGTGAATTATGAACTGATTTCAAAAGACTATTTACTCATTATCAGGGAAGTATTTGTGTGTATTTGTTGCTCTATAAACTTTAGTAATTTCACTAGTACTAATGACATCGGTTAGATATTCTTTAATTTTATGTTTGTCCAGTTTCCCTTACTTACATGGATTTCAAAGATATTTTTCACGAATGAATTATATGGAAAATGTACCAGTTAATTTTTAATGGTGTCCTTGAGAAGTTATTCGTGTTGTTCTGGTTGGTTCTATTGTAATGTAGTTAATTTTGCCAAAGGTCGATTCATTAGTACTTACTTTCTGTTCTTCGAAACAACATGGGGACTTGTTTGTGAAGACTTATTGTCATTTTGTTTGAATGTTTTTCTTCCAGTGTTTCACTGGGCTACTGAATGCGGAATCGAAATCAGAAAATTTTTACCAAATGAAATCGATAATGTTTTTAACCAGTTAAATATAATAGATGCAAAGATTCAGTTGCAAACAATTGTCTCTATAGGAATTTTTGAAACAAATCCAAACAGTGAGTTCTAGAAAAAGATATTATTTCATTTAAAAGTTTATATGTGTGTTTAGGAAATATACAACTGCATTGATTATTAACTGTCTTGTAAATTCACTTGGTATTGTTTTACTTGAACCTTCCCATTGATGTTTTTGAACTGAAATTGATCAGTCTCTTGTTAACATATGTGCATACTGCGCGTATGTCTCGATATTGCCTTAATTTACAAGCATTATAAGCAAAGATGGATAGTGGCTAGCAGTGGAATCCAGGACACGCGTTTCGTCCTGTTTTGGACTCGTCAGCTGGATGTATCTGCATCTCAGAGTTGATTTTTACTCTGGGACTCGAACTCATTACCTTTCGCTTCAAACACCATCGCGTTATCCACTTAGCTACTGAGTCCTTATAGCCACTTGCTTGTGCAATGGGTTGAAGTCTAATTCACTTGGCATTGTTTTACTCGAATCTTCCCATTGATGTTTTAGGACTGAAATTGATCAGTCTCTTGGCTATCAGGACTCAGTAGCTAAGTGGGTAACGCGATGGCGTTTGAAGCGAACGGTACCGAGTTCGAGTCCCAGAGTGAACATCAACTTAGAGATGCAGGTACATCCAGCTGACGAGTCCCAAACAGGACGAAGCACGCGTCCTGGATTCCACTGCTAGCCACTATCCATCTTTGCTTATAACGTCTTGTAAATGTCCATCTGAAGAAAATGTCGCATTTTCACGTAGGTTTTGTTGAAACAGCATTTAAATTAAGAATTAATAGATTTACCGTTATTCTTACTTTAAAATTCATCTGACAGTTTGTTAGTTACAACCAAAGTAAAACCTGGTACAAATATTGATTTACCAAAGTTGTCACATCACATCATCTTGCTTGTATGAGATTAACGTGAGGAATAACACAGAAGCTGTATTAAAAGTGTCATTAATTATATTAAGAAGACTAGGTATGGAGAATATAATTCAAAAAGGGAATGAAATAAGGAAACAAGTTTAAAGTATCAATCTAATGTATGATTTAAGTAGAATTACACGTACCATTGAAAACGATTGAGTCACGTCACTTACCTTCTTCAATCATTAAACATAATCATTTTACCGACAGCGATCAGATAATATTTATCTGTCACTACGGTTCAGTTTCGCAGTTAATTAATTAACGCTGATTTATTCATTGTTTCAGTCACTGTCCAGTTAGAAAAAGCCTAAGAAAAATGAACACTGAACTGGCTAACTTTGCAAATAAAGGTGTCGGTAATAGTATTATGATAAAAAACCATTTTTTAGAAGTTTAATTACAGTAATGTTAAATAAGTTCCTAAATCAAACAGTGTTCAATGTTGAATGATTTCCGACAATTAGTATTTACGATGAAGAAATTAGATCGATTCATTGGACAACAAGCTATGATAATTATTCTTTTGATTTACTCAAAACTGAGAACATGATATTGTTTGGTGTTTCAGAATTAAAATTAGTTTTTGAAATTTTAATTACACAAAACGACTAAAAATAATGTATTTGCAGAACATACACACTCAAATATGTGCAAAGCCTTGGGCCATATTCGTTAAAGTCACTTCTCTACAATTCATTGCTGTTGTGATAGTTAACCATATCTTATTAGAAATGTTTTCTTAATCAATACAGACCAATCAATTTCAAATGAATTAATTAATTAAAAGTGACGATTTCTATATTTTCTCAGGTTTTATTTTACTTACACATTTTAACAGATGAACAGATTGCGATTCTCCGTGGTTTCCTTTTGCACAATAATCAAGAAATTGTCTTAGCTACTTGCTTATGTCTTAATATAATAGGTTATTCTAATCAAACATGTATTGAAAAACTAAATACTTTGATCACAATGGATCAAAGCTTATTACATATGAAATCATCAAATAACAAAATATCATCTACATCTTTGAATCTATTGAAATGGGCATCATCAATTTGTTTATGTAAATTAGATCAATGTAATTTAAAAGCATTGAATATTTTAACTAATCTTCTATTTGATCAGTTAATTCAATTTATTCCCGAACAATATCCAAGCAAAACTTATTACACTCAAATGAAAGAGCTTAATGATTCATTGAATAAACCATTAGATTTAGAAGATAAATATATGAACTCATTTGTTTCAATTCTTTCCAATCTCATAAAATTTGATATAAACAAATCAAATATCTTTTTAAATAGAATTATCTACTATTCTGAAATTAAGATGATTTTACGTCTTAGTAAGAATCATGTAAGTTAGCTTGTATATATTTTTGTATATAAAAAATCCTATGAAAATAATTAGTTCTTTATTGAATAGTTTAGGTAAGTACTCTACTAGATAATATGTATAAAGCACAAAACAGTTTCGATTTTGAATTTGGTGAAAAAGGATTTATACTTTTTTGATATTCTAGGAATTGGTTTCTTAAAATTGCTAATTGGTCAGTTATAACGTAAAATAAAGACTTCAAATAAGATAACTTTTGTGGTCTAAAGGTTATCTAGCTAATGCTGAATTTCGCTCACATTTTGAATGGACTGTTTCTATCTAATCAGGCTGAACAATGTTTGACTCAAGATCAGAAAGTTATAAGTTTGATTATTAAATTGTTTAATTATAGCTATTATATTTTGAAATTTGTCAATCCTCGTGAGTCAGTTTAAGTGATATAGCTTCCCGTAAGTTTTAATTTAAATAAGTGTTTGTGTATGAAGCCCTGAATCTACCAGTGACTTTCACTAATGATAACAGTACCTTTTATCAACGATGCAGTACAAAAGGGAATTTAATCCACTTACTGTTATGCACGCTGTGCAGCATAAAATAAATACTGAGCAGAATTATTGACGTTTTTTTAGCAAAGAGTGGCATATACTCATTAAACAAGGTGGTAGTCAACAAATTAATTAACCGAAAAATGACTCGAAGTCGGTCACAATAGCCGAATTTCATTCTTCTTACCCACAATTCGGTCCTTCCTTTCCCTGAAATATATTTCTTAAGTTCAGATTTACTCTGCATTTGATACTTTTCTTTACTCTAACGGGATAAGTATGAAGAACAGTTGAACTGTCTTGAATGTTACAACTGAAGTTATTGATAATATGTTTATCGTATAATTATGAAGTATGTAAATTACTGTATTTTTGTATTCTCCTGCTTGTGAACATTTTCATGGTGCATAAAGTGTTTTTTATATTTTACCTTTCCTAAGTTATTGTTAATCTATTGTGGACCTATTACTCAGTTCTTTTTCGCTTTTGGTGTAGCGTGCCCATATTCTTATTGCTTAATTATGTTTATATAAGGTTAGGACTTTATCCTGAAGGATTTATAGATTTTAATTTTATCGACAGAAGTTTTCTGCTTTATGTGTTGCGTTCCATACAGGCTATCGGGCGAGTGAGTATAAGAGAACTCCATTTTGAACCTGAAGTCGTTGAGTATAAATCTCGTCTATTTTCTCGCTATCAACATGTTACCAATTAGCAAAAGACCATTGATAAGAGATATATAGTTTAGAATAATTAATCAATAGAACTACTTTCCAGTTCAAAGGTGTGTTCATATGGACCCAAAAAATAAATCAAGAAATTCTTTTTTGTCTGTCATGTTACTCTCTTTAATTTTAATTATGATAACTATGTTTCCTGTTGTGATTAAATAAGTTGTATGAATTGAATATATTACCCAATACCTATTATTATCATTACTATCATAAAAATAAGAATTCAATAAATCCTAATTATATGATGGGATACTTTTATGTTAATGTAAACTGAAAATCGTCACATTTGTCCATAATACGATGAAAACTTATATTCTATGCGACTTTTATTCTTAGAAGTTGTACTTTTTCTACTGAAATAATCTTTATTTTGAAATATAGACAGATACATTTTAATTCTTGTTTGTTTGTTTGTTTTTACTTCTTTTCAAACAAGTCACAAATTGAACATTACTTTACTGAATTTTTGAATTCACCAAATTGGAGAATAAGATTATGTTCATGTTGGCTTCTATCCATTCTATTGTGTGATTTAAGTAAAGTAAGTAGTATGAATGAATTTTTATGCTATAAGTAAACATATTTGACAGATTTTTTACAAATAACTTAAAAGAAATATAAGATTTAATTTCAAATATGAATTAGCTAATGGTAAGATATAATTTCTATTGAAATAATAAACATAGATTAATAAAGACAAAATCCCTTTCATGTCCACACAGAACTGCGTCTACAAATTAGGTTGTATCGATTGTGATGCCTATTATATTGGAGAGTCTTCCCGCGAAATCTTAACTAGAGCCAAAGAACATATTAGGTACACAAAGAAACCTCCTAACAATCCTGTAGAATTGAACCAACTTCAAATTAAATCGGAAATAGCAGTTCATGCCATTTTCAACAACCACCAAATCGATTTTAAAAATATCAAAATATTGCAAAAAGGCTTTTCTAACTACAAAGAAAGGAGGGTAGCTGAGGCGTTCCATATAATGCTTAATCCTACTTCTCTTAATAGAAAAGAAGGCCTTACCATACATCCTACTTGGACCATCTATCCTAGCCACTCAGTCTGATCGTATTTACAATTTCACACTATCATATTACAAATTTAAACTCTATCCTTTCTTACCATAAATTCAAACAAGTTTTCATTCTTAAACAATACACATATACATACACACAAATTTACATACATATCACTTATGAATCACCTTGATAGAAATGACATGACATCAACTTGTTCAGACTTGTTTTTGATTGATCGAATATTATTCTTTCATTGTTCCGTTGTACTATTTAAACTTGGATTAATATTAATTTGGTTATTTATTCTCTGAAGAAGTGACTTACACTAAGTCACGAAACGTCAGAAAATCCAATTTTCTACTCATTGGGATATTACAAATATATTATTTTTATTTATATAGATTAATAAAATTCAAGTCAATATTAAAAAGAAATTGATACTAACAACATAGTAAATGAAACTAGAAAATAAACAAATTCAGAAAATAATGGAAATATTTTTAGTTCAAGATTTAAATGATAATAAAGTATGAATGTATCGACATCAGTGTGATAGACCTTGAATTTTTAAGAGTTGGATACAAAGAAATCTGGATAGATTTGAATGAATCATATAAACAACCTTAAAATCAAATTGTGTAGAATGGTTACAGTCGATTAGGTGTTCAAGTATAGAACTTATAACTGCTTTCAACTCGGATACTGGAACATATCCCAGCTTGTCTCTATAAGGGTGAAAGGAAAGTAGTTAGTTCTATACTTGAACACCTAATCGACTGTAACCGTTCTGCAGATCAACAATTTGATTTTAAGGTTGTTTATATGATATGTTTAGATCTTGAATTGTATATTTTCAAATAATCAATCATTGATGATAATTATTGTTTAAGCTTATAGTAATGAAAATATACATATTTCGATATTGCTCATATCATTTCATTTAATTGTTTCATGAACTTATATGGATTTTAGAAATTTGGCTTCTTTAGTTGTTTATACAAACTATACTGCTAACCATGACAGTGTATTTAGATATTATATACACATGTTTCATACACTATTATTTAGTCTATAGTTTAGAGACTAAGTTATTTTGGTCGTTCAGTTCAGTGGAAGTATGATGTTTTACAATTTTGTGAATACTTCAGTTAATCACTTTGAAAAAAACATGACTTTATAGGACAATGATGCTCAGATGTTTGTTATATGACGTATTCGGCACAGTTTTGTAGTTTATTTTATCAAAAAAATGTGGAAATATAATGAAGTATTATGTGGTGAAAAGTTGTATATTATATCTTTGCGAATTCATGATATATATATATATATATATATATATATATATATATATATTTGCAGCATCCAATTATCAAGCTATAACCGCTTCATTAACGCTGCGGATATATTGACCTCTTAATGTGTTTTTCAGGACAGTAGTTATGACAACCTTAGTAGAGTGAACAACTTTTCAATACTGTCAATGTTTGAAATAAAGTAGTAAAAGCTTGTTCCCATCACAAAATATGATTTACGTACTCTAATTAAAAAATTATAGCGTTTGTTAAGTTATTATTATATATTGATCATATGTATTTCTTTAGCATTCAGTCTTTTTTGAGTGGTTTTTTATAGGATACACTTACACGAATAAATCGTCTTATGCTATTAGATTGGAGTACCATGTTACGGATAGCTACACTTCATTGTCTGGAGACAAATTTAAAGGGGATGAATGTATCTTTATTATGGTCAAATAGTTTATTCAATGACCCATTTTTGTCAAATGATAACAATAGTACTATAACGAACAAGATAATTCATGACTTGTCTATAACCCCTAAATCAATCCCTTATCGTCGTGCTCAGAGATTATACCAATTAGCTATGAATGGTAATGTTTTACCGCTTCCAAATACTTCATTTTTTTATTTCACTACATGTTTTCAAAATTTTTCTACGTACAATTTATTAAGTTCCACACTTCTACAATATTAAATAATTATGTTTTAATTATGCATGAATTAATTTTATAATTTTAATAGTTGAATTCATGAGTCGGTGTAAGCAAGCCCACAACTAAAAACCAGGAAGCGCTGGACGGCCATTTCATCCTAGTGTGAAACTCCTTAGCAGTGCTCATCCACGACCTCGCACGTGGTATTTGGACCTAGAACCTTCGGTCTCGCGAGCGAACGCTTAACTTCTAGACCATTGAGCCGGCATCCAACGGTGTTAATGTTTAACTAATCGATCCTTGATCTTGAGCAACTATCCATCCATTGTCTGAGGTAGGTACCTGTCTCGAGCCCCACATTCGGGATCGTTGATGAGTAGTACCAAGAAGTCTCATACTAAGACGAAGCGGTCGTCCAGTGCTTCCAGTTTTTTAATGGTGGTTTAGCTTACATCGACTCACCAATTAAACTATTAAAATCACTACAATTTTTCACAAACCCGCATTCTAATTTTATAATTTGCGAAAAAATATAAGGTTTATATTCAATTACAATACTTTGAATTTAAAATCAGTGATTTTATTGAAATGTTTGGTATTCAGGCGTGTGTCATTGCGAACCAGATGTAAATGAATGCTTTTTGGATAAAGAGGTACTTTGATACGGTAACGTTGGTTCTTCTTCACACTCAACTTTGATACTTACTTTTTTACCTAAAATATTTAACATTCGGTCTCTTCAACCGGTTCATGTTATATAGAGCACAAACTTTCTGTTTTACGGTTCAAAGTCCATATATTTTCCTACTTACGTCGATTTGACGAACCTATATCATAAGGTCTATCAATAAAAAGCATGGTTGGCAGCAGAGTGCATAGGAATATGCTTATTCCCTAACTCATAAGCACTGACTATTAACGGTACGGAGTTGTGGAGATTGTTGATTTTCTTTGTAATCACGAGCCAATCACAGTCAAGCAACAAATGAAAATCTGGAAGAACTGGATAATGTTTCTTCCCAGTACAGGACTCTTCAGTTTTGCGCATCAGCGAACTTGCAAACAGGGTTTGCAGTGTATAGCCTTTTAATATTGTTTTTTATTTTAAGCAGATAAGTGCCTAATTTTATCTTCTAAATCCTGACCATATATTAGTAATTTTCGTTTACAAATCGGTAAGATTAATCTTAACATAAATAATTCTAACTTAAGAAAAATTACTAATTTCATGCAAAATATTCAGATTTAGGATAAAAGCATCAATTAAAATTGATTAATTGAAGTTTCAGTATAATTTTATTTTACTTTTGGTTATCATTGTTATTTTTAATTTTCAGGTCTTTCACACGATGATTTAATCAAACAGCTTCATTTGGCTTTAATGGACGAATGTAGTTGTGTACGTAAAATGGCATGTGTTATCATTGAGCAAAAGGACGTAGCTACAGAAACAGTCATTTTTAATGAATTGCTTAACATTTTAAAGAATGATATGAATGATAACGTTAAAATATTGGCTATAAGAGGTGGGCTAAAATAGATTATTTGCACTATTTTCTCGAAACTTCCGTAATAGTAATAGTAAATTTTTGAAACATGGAAATCATTTACGAAATTCGCAATCACGATGATGTTTGGTTAAAAAAATATAATCCTTCGTAGAATTCAATACAGTTTGCTAACGAAATACTCTCATACCACTAAGAAGCTTAGTTCAAACATAATTAGTTAAATTTAGTTTGATGGTATTTAGATGAAGGATTTTGCCTGAATATACTAACAATCCTATATATCAAGTTTGAAGAGGAGATATATTGGTAGGGCAGACAATATATAGTGCTTCTGAAAAAGCTTTTATCAATTTTCTTCCCTCGAAACGGAACGTCTTGTTTTCTTCGCCCGTTTAGCTACAACATTTTTCCAACAGTTTTTTTAGTTTATCCTACTATATCACTTTAAATCACTACATATTTCATTCTTAAGTGTCTTCAATTTGTGTTCATTCAGTTAATGATTCAGAAGCTGATTTCAAATTCTTCCTTCCTTCATTTCTAATCAAGTCGATGTCTCAAACCATCCTTTGGGTTTAATCTTTAATTTTTACATCTTAATTTTATAAACTTCATTTTAAACTAATACCATACAACATTAGACTGATAAGTGTATAAATAACTTTTGATCGATTTCATTTCTATAAAGTATGATAAATCTCATTTGAGATTTCGAGATGAGAATGTCTAAGTTTCTAACCGTTTGATTAAAACTTAATGAAATGTCTTTTTTTTCCAATCTCTGTTCTTGTTGTTTTCACCTATGGCATTTGTTCGGTCGTCTTTCGAGAAACTTTGATCACTCCAGATTTAGTATTTGTTATTTATATAATTCAAGAAGCTAATTACATCGTTGATAATGAATTAATGACTATTCGATAAAGGGAATTTCGTCTATTATCAAAAACCGTTTCTTCTTTAGGTTATTAATTACTGAAAGTTTTTTCAGGTTGGTGTCACTCCATAGAAGGATATTTAGGGAATTTAGAAAATTTCAGAATGAATAAGAAGCTAAGTAAGTGGAAAGGCTACCCAATGTATGAAGAGCATGAATAATTAGTTACAATATCTCGGTTTACCAGTATTAAGAATAGTTGCTTTTTTCATACACATAGTTCCCTTTATTATCTTAAATAGAGCAAGAACAAAGATTGGTGCAAAATAATATGAATTCATTTTATTTCGTTAGGTTCTTTCTCATTAGCTGCTTACAACCTAAATTATTTGAAATTCAACATTATTACAGATATTGACATATTTATACATAAGAGTGTGAATAAGGATCAATACATGTGTATGATGATGTAGCAAATATTCATATAGAGTTAATGAGCTCATAAAATGTTTGATTCGAATAAATAAATAAAGTAAGAGAGGGAAAGTTCTGGAACATTGAAATAGTGATTAGAACTCATGAAAATAGATTAATAGTAATAAAGAAAATATGAATTAAAATCAATCATTTATGTATGATGTAATTTAAACTTCAGAAAGAGTTGGAAGATGGGGAATGACGTAATAAATAAATAAATAGGAGCAAATGAATAGAAAGGGTGGGGATTATTGTTACCAAGGTAAAGAAAGATTTATTACTGTCTCTTTTTGTATACATAGATCTGGTTTTAAACGTTTGATTGCTATCGCTTCAGCGAATTTCAAAAGGTTAGAGTCCAGCAATGTTCTTTGTCAAAATTTCTATAAGACCACAAGAGATTAAGAAATATTTGATCTAAACAGCATTGAATATCAGCTTCTCAGAAACATCAAGAGAATGGAGGATCACATGTCGCGTTTTTGATTAGATAACTACCCATACCGTTATTATATTTAGAATGCTTCTGGAAAGTTCTCGAGTTCAAAGTCACACAAAAATCTATTAATACACTCGATTTTCTGTAACTTTAAAATAAACCTGTCACCCGTAGTTTGCGTCTTTTCTTTATTGTTCAAATTAATATGTGGGAGTAGTCTGAGGTTATGAACAGCTGTAAAAAAAGACAGTATCAAGCGTTCAAGTAGCAGACTTATTACTTAAGTAATAAAATGAATTGTTGTGCCCATTTTAAATATTGATATGTTCCTTTTTTGTACAGCAGTTACATATGTAAAGTTGTAGCTTTTGTTGCCGGTCGTGAAGATGGTTTTTCTCTCACATGAGGCGAAAACTAGTTTTATTTAGTTAAATGAACAGATTTTGTTGAGAAAAGACATAATATTAGTTTTAGTATCGTATTACTTTAGGATTGTAACCTCTTTTGATGTAGTCGATTTCATAATCATAATCTTGTTATATGTATTTTAAAAATTATTTGCCAAACTACTGTATACTAATTCTGTTGACAGATATAAGTAGTATGTAGCACCAATCGGTAGTATAATACTTGCCAGAAGATTGAATTGAAGAGAACAGGAAAGGTAGTAGATAGCTTTTGGAATAACAACGTGATGATTAGAATTGTGAAGCGCGTATAAGACAAATGAAGGGAGATGTGAAAAGAGGCTATTTAATGTATGGTCATCATATTTTTACCAAAGCACTCTCTAATTTCGTATTGATTTTCCTTTCCTAACTTCTTCATTTACTACAGTATTATTTATATAACTTGTGGTCTATTAATATATAACGTAATGATACTGCCAATTAGAGAACAGTGAATTATCGACCAGACCAATGACGCATAAAACCCGTACGAGCAGTCTAGAGTCTTTATTAATCCTACCTCCTGCCTGTTAAGTCCAGAACATCAATCTCAGCCTCCGCATTATGAATCACATACTGGGTTTATATACCAACCAAATAGACCACATCATACCATAAAACTGAAAATAACATTTGTACAAGATTTAGCCAAATGTGGCTGTGAATGTGGGAGATAGTAATTGATAGACTGGGCATAACTCAAGAATGGTAAATGGTATAATAATAATTCATAGGTCAAAATAAAGCTTATGATAAGAAAAACACGAATATGAGTAGTTTAGTTACTTAACAATTATACAGGAAAAATATATTTATAGTATTAGTCCACAAAAAGATGCCAACAGTTACCATTCATTATTCTCATCAGGATATAATAATTATTAAATTATCTGAATAATTAATGATATATTTTAATATTCTTATTCAGCTTTGAAAACAATAACTGGTTCTAATGAAGATAATACAAAATCCGAACAAGTTCAAAATGTTTTATATCATGCTATTCAATCTGAATTCAATCCATCTATCCGACAGAAAATATTCCATCTTTTATTATGGTTTATTCAAACACGTTTTATAATCTATGATACAAATGAACATTTAATGAATAATGAAATTGATATTTTAGCTAAAACCTTAATTTACAATGAATATAATTCATTAAATGCAAAAATCATAGATTTTAATGAATTATTTAATATACAAAATGATATAATAGAATATAGTTTAAATTATGAAAATGAATGTGTTGCTATGGAGAAAAATGATTCTAATTTAATACGTAAAATATTTATACCAAACTATAATATGTTTATTAATGATAAAGGGGATCAAATGAAATTACAAAAATGTTTTCAAGGTCATCTTTATTATTTATATAATTTTTTAAGAAAATCTTTAAAATATGAAAACTGTCCAGAGATTCAATGGTAAACTAATTTGTAACTTTTATAATTATTCATTTAATGTTTATGATGTATTTTGGTGTATATTTCACATTGATTTAGTTTTATACAATATGTTAACAGATCATAGTTTTACATTGATTTTATTTATATACAACCATGACTTTCAAGCAAACACTTTTAGTGGCCCGTAGATCTGAATCCAATTAGATCGTATGAATGTTTGTTATCGCCTATCCTCGTATATAATCATCGACCTAAATCGCATTAGTCAATGACGGAATTAAATAAGTCGAATAACGAGAATGGATTTGTGAATACATATATTTTATATATAAAGCGAATGGAATAGAGAGAAGAGAAAGGATGCAGAGTGGAGATGGCCATCTCCTATTTAACCAAGCGTTGACCAATATTTATAGTTACACAGAAGTAAGTTACAGACATGTGATTAGTAATGGGATAAGAAATGTACGCACACCTATGCGCTCATATAAAAACAGTCAAGATTGATAAGCAAATAAGTAACAAGGTCAGAATGTAACTCAAGTAGAATGAATAGAATGGTCTGTCCGAAAGCTAGAATAAGGTAAATGGGTTTAACATAATAACCGACACTACACACTACCAAGTGAATTTAAATTTCACCTTATTGCACAAGCAAGTGGCTATCAAGACTCAGTAACTGAGTAGATAACGTTATGGTGTTTGGAGTGAGAGGTACTCGAATCCCGGGGTGAACATGAACTCTGAGATGCAGATATACACCTAGTTGACGAGTTCCAAATAAGACGAAATGTGCGTCTTGAATTCCAATACTAGGCACTATCCATCTTTACTTTTTTCATGTTGTATGTAGTACGATGAGTGACGGATTTTGTATTATAATAGAGTTTTATTATATTAGAATCCTTGGGTAAATAAATGAAGTATCAAATGGTTGTAAGTACCTTAGGTTTCAAGTATTGATTGGTTGGATTTTACTATTAATGTAGCATATCCAAGATGCAAACATCAATTGAGTATTTATGGTAGAACATTTTTGTTAGTTATACATAGGCCATCTATTGTCTTATCATGTCTTGAATTCTAGATTTAAATAGCAGATATGCTTATAGGTAGATGTGAATACTTAGATGTAACCTTTGTTACTTTTGAGATGATAAGAAGTATGTCCTCCAATTTTGTAATTACGATATGTTAATGAGAACTGTTTGCTAAATCTAAACTAGTGTTTTATAACTATTACATCTAAATCCAGTGAGATACTTCTTCTTTGACTGATTCACTATCGTATCTTAAGTAAATAACCTACTCCAGTAGTTATGAATCTTGAAGTGATTTGTAGTGTCTTTCATAAACTACAGTTTATTTAAATTCACCTGGTATTGTTTGCTTGTATCTTCCGTTTGTTTTTTAGGACTTATGTGCATCTCGTGCGGATTACCTCAATATTACCTTAAGTCATAAGCTTTATAAGCAAAGATGGATAGTGGCTAGCTGTGGAATCCAGGATGGGCGTTTCGTTTTACTTTGGACCTATTTACCTCTTAGAATGATAGTCCCAGAGTGCCCTGGTTTGGCCGAGGGTGGAGAGAGCCAGCTCTCATTTTCGAGATGCACTCATATGGCCACGCATATACAGCCACTACCAGGGAAGTCCTACACACTGCCTTCTCACAACATTGCTGTTGTTTACAAAATCGAAAGGATTAAAAGTAGATGTTCGGCATTTTAACCAGGTTGGTGGATATATGGGATCCACTCAGAGGAGTTGAAAAACCCTCATTCCAAACCAATGGTGCACATGGGCTCCAGGATTTTGAGGGGACAAATGGCATATGAACCAATCATCGATCACCGGCTACCATGGGACTGCATCTCCCTACATTAATCCACTACATTCTGGATCAGACCTTTAGGTCGAATGCTCGGGGTGTGGCCCCCTAAGAAAACCACCTGCTTCGATTTCGGTACACGGGCAGTATCACAGCCCACACACAAATCAAGTGACTTGTTTGGCACATATCAATTCCGTACTTCTTTGTACTAATATTTATGTGTTCAAATAAATATAATAAATAAATAAATAAATAGAATAATATTACACTTACTATTATTTCCCGTTATATTTTTAGTTGTAAATATGAAGCATATACTTGTTCACAATTTGAGATGGTGGAAAAGATAAATAGCTCAGGTGGATGATTTCGGTGGAGTTTTGTTCTATGAGATGGATGGTTTGGTCGTGGAGCTTTCATCGTTTTTCTGAACGACATAATCAGCACAAACTTCAATCCTACGCAAACCAAAGGATGAAATAATAAAGGAAGACAAATGAAACATCATCTACAAAATAAATTGTGCCAACTGCGAAAAATACTACATTGGACAAAGCGGACGCCACTTTCACCTTCGCCTACATCAACTAGCAGTCAAACGCCATGATACTTCCTCACTTATATCAATACACGTGGACAACTGCGGAAACTCATTCGATTTGAAAAATGTGGAAATCTTGGACAGAGAAAATTCCAAAAACACCAGAGAATTTTTAAAAGCCTGGAACTCAAGTCAATCAGCAATCAACAAGCACATTAAAATCGATCCAATTTATTAACCAGTCAGAAAAATTATGCACAAATATAGGAACAAAAATCAAACCAATAGGAGACACAACCAAAACAAAGGAGTAAACTGTTGGGATATTCAGAAAAATATCCCAAAAACAATTGTCGTGTTAAGTCTAATGCTACCCCTGAATGTTAAATGGTGTCATTTCCCTATTGGTCGTTTCCCTACTAATTAATATTTATTTCGCGTGTCATTTCCCCATTGGTCAATATTATCTCACCTGTCATCTTTCTGTTGGTCAATATTTATAGTAATCCTAACTGTATAAATATGCATTTGTTGGTAAATCATTATTCGGCTCCTGACCCCATAAACAATTTTTCATCTATGGTTCGTGTTCTGATATGTTGGAGATTGGGAACAGTATTGGGGTCGAACTGGGATATCTGAAGCTGGTCAATCGGTAGAAATTAGAGTAGCCACCACGCGATTCACAATATAAACAATGACAAATTTAAGGTATATAAAACCAATCAATGTCGAGGTGTACAGACCAAGCTGTGAAACGCATATGGCGAAATTCGAACACTTCACTTCTATCTGAAGTTTGTGCTGATGATGTTGTTCAGAAGAACAATCAAAGCTCTACGATCAAACCATCCAGCTCAGAGAACAAAACTCCATCAAATTGTTCACAACTTATAAAAAAAGTATAACTGTTTTATAATAATAATTTACATCATAATTCACATTGTTGACACTTATATGATCTACATTAATAGAAAAAAAAGTTATTTAGATATCTATGAGACATAATTTCTTGTTTATTTTTTTTTTTTAGTGAATTATCTACTATGATAAAACCATTATTTGATCAAATATTAAATGAAGCAAATAGAAATGCAACAGAAAATTATTATTATTCATATCATAATGATACAGATTTATTAAAATTATTATTAAATGAAAAATGTAATGATATAGTGAAAATTTGTTATGATATTATACAATATTCTTAAATATAATAATCAAAGTATACTGTTTTAATTTCCCCACCCTTTTTTTCTTTATTATTTTTTTATTTTTTACTTATTAATGATCAATATCAATCGTTGAGATTATGAGTTTCAATTGAAACTCATAATCTCAACGATTGATATTGTTGTTATATACCACAAAAGCCTCTTCTGATACTAAACATCAGTTTAGGCTCACTAGTGACTGGCTTCAAGAGGTATTTTTTGAAGTTCTAATGAGAAGCAGTGACCAGTGAAGTTCAGTTGGGTCTGTTGTGAGGTAGTAACTCATTGAACACATTGGTGCATGTGTCGCTCAATTCTGTGGATTAGTTGAAGTTAGACAGTGACATAGTTGGATGCCAGCCGGCTCAGTGGTCTAGAGGTTATGTGTTCGCGTGCGAGACCGATAGGTCATGGGTTTGAATCTCGTGAGGCAGAATCGTGGATGCGCACTGCTGAGGAGTCCTGCGATAGGACGAAACGGTCGTCCAGTGCTTCCAGATTTTCCATTGTGGTCTAGCTTCAATTGACGCATAACCACAACTATTGAATTTACTATAATATCCACAAAACCCCTTCTGATAATAATAAAACTATTGTTCAAATACAGGTATATATTTTACTTTTTAAAGAATAATTACTATTACTGGATATATGAACAATTCCAAAACGTGATACTTTAGTGGTCCTAAATCTGACTTCTATTTGATAATCGTATGCTGCTTGTTATCGAAATATACATATTGTCAATCCTCGTATATAATCATTAGTGGACAATGGAATTAAATATGTCAAATATGATAATGAATTTCGAACACGTGTATTTTATATGATTAATGGATTGGATAGCGAAGCAAAACGAAATGACGCTCAACGGAGGAAGAGAGTGAACTAACTCAGTTTAATCAAGCGTTAATCGATATTTGTAGCCAAACTAAAATAAGTTACAGACATGTGGTGAATGGGATAGGATGTACACATACATACGTTTATATAAAAACAGTCAAGGTTAATAAGTGAATAACTACCAACGTCAAAATATGACTCAAGAAGGATGGCTTGTTCGGAAGCTAGAATATGCTATGCGGTTTTAACATAGCAACCGACAATACAATACCTTAAAAAAAACCTAGAGTTAGGAAATCCATGTGTAAATGACTTGATATTTTCTAGGTGAATGTAACTCTATTATTGCTAATACGTTAACTTTGTAAGTTTATCAATAGTTTGTTTCATTAAGCTGTATTATAATGTGGTTTAAAAAATGTTCTACTCTGAAGTGAGTAAAACTCGACTAGTTTAAATTGATACCGGCTAACAGAAGTTTAAATAATTGTCTTGCTTTGGGAACTCAATGTTGTTCAAGTGTTATCAATGTCAAATTCGAATTGGAGCTCAACTCGTAGTGAACAAAACACGGGTGGGGGACAGTCGAATTATGTTTAACGCGACATTACAGAGTTAGTTGCTTAAATAGAAAAACCATATAGTAAATCGTTAATTTGCAAAATATGAATCCATCATATCAAATCGGGCTGTTCCTGTTGTAATCGCCAATCCATTGTTCATACGTTTTCTTATAAATTGCATTGCGTTTCTGCTCTTCCTTTTTTGATCTCCCTCCCCATCTTCTGCTGCCAAACATTAAGTTTTTAACTCGGGTCGTATACTACTTATATCAATATAAGTAGCACGCACCACAAACTTACTATATAGCTTACAATAAAATGGACATGGTTTATTCAAATTTTGTAGTATCTATATAAAAATCCAACATGCAAACATAAAGAATTTTATTCAATATTTCGAATACAGACTTTTAGAACTATTATCTGTACTAAGCGCTAGAAGATTGTTTATTAATAGTACAACCTTCTCAAACAAAATCCCCATATCTGTCATGTAGACAGTAATCTCACATATTTCACACTCCCTATCCTTCTCTAAACGCTTGATCATTACACAAACTCCTTTTGACATTTTAAACCTCGAATTACCTCATGATGCTATTTCTTCCACCATACTATGGACTTATATATTTATCAAACTATAGCAACTCTCCTATAATTAGTTTTGCTTACGGTTAATTTTGTCGAACCCTTCAATTAACTTACTTAACAGACAATGTTATTCGAACAGTAACAATTCGTCTATTTCTTTGAACTATTCTGATCACTATCTCGTTTGTATAAACGTGTATGTTTGATTACATGTGACAGCCTACGCACATATCTCTGGCTTACATGTTTGTCCCCTAAATATCATTCTCTTCCCTATATATGTATGTACTTGAATCTTATTAATTGCCCTTATCTAACTTCTCTTTGCCTCGACTAGATTTGACTCTGAATCCGCCTCTGCATTCACTTGCTCGCGCGCATTAGCCTATCTTCTCAAATTCACTCAAGATGCTTGTAACTTTGTTATCTGCGTTATCCAGAGTTAATGTAAACTCTGTGACTCAAACCCAGCACCGTTTGATTTAAACACGATCGCGTTACTTACTTAACCGATGGGTCCAGATAGCTACTAGCTTGTGTAATTCGGTGAATTTTAATCAGTTTGTGTGGGTTATTTGAACCTTATCGTTGGTGTATGGGACTGCAATTTTTCAGTATCTTTTAGCACACATGCAGACTTTATTAATCCAGCTGATGATTTCCAAATAGGAGAGAACAGATGTCTTGGATTCCACTACAAGTCACCATCTAACTCTGCTTATAGTGCATATAACTGGATTGAAATTTCGTGCTAATCTTCAGAGAATATACAAAAGCCCAAAGAAACTAATTGGCTAGTTCCTTAACTTCAGTGAAAAGATTCAACTAACCAATACAAAATGTTTACTAACTTGATTTACGAAATAATAATAGGGACTTTCTTTTCCTATAATTATGTTTATGTTTTAACGGTCTGTTGATAAACCATCGTTGTCTCTTTGCAAAATTTCTGTGTCATCTTACTTGAGCGTGCTTCACCAATGCGTTTAGCCACGTCATCGACTTAATAGGAAACAACGTCTACCGTGATCGTGGTCTAAATTTAGATACCAAGCATTCGAAATCGTTGTTGAGTGGGAAGTTTAAAAATTTGCTTCTAATCGAAAACAATCGAATTTTTACGATATATTTGCTTGTTTCATATTTAACGCAAACTAATTCCTGTCTGGGCTAGCTTACATTTTTAAACAATCCTTCTTTCAGCTTTCTAATCATCGTCTGTAACTCATTTCTTAGTGCTTAATTTTATTGTAAATTTTATCCGTTTAATTTAGCTACTAAATTTATATTTAGTAGCTTGCTAAATTTAATTATATATTCATGTGCTTTATGCGAATGGTTTTTGTACTAGAAAATTCATATTAATCTGATTTATAAACTAGCTAGATGCTGTTTTTCAAAGGAACATAATCAAAGGAAAGAAGAAAAAAAGATATGCATCCATAATGTCACTGAAAAAAATAAACCGCTTTCACACCATTTATTATTTTTGTACTGGATATTTATTTCGTACTATAAACAATATTAAAATTCTTTAAAATGGTCATGAATAGAAAAAAAAAAGAACGAAGATAATCCGCAAAGATTTTTTTTAAGAATAACGTTGATAAAAGCTTCAAAGTACTAGAAACTAAACTAAGTGAGTCAATTATTTGCTTTTATCATAGAAATACCGACTGAACTTATAGTATAGTAAATTTTTTTTTAAAAATATGTTGCTGCTTTTATGAATAACTGAAATAAGATTGAAACGGTTCATGTGTTATATCATGACTCAATGAGACCGATAAATGCATGTGTATATGAGATTTTTAAACAAAAATTTCTATTTTTTTATAATCCAAATTAAAGTTATACAAGTTAAGTGTTTTTGTTTTAACTAATTCAATATTGAGTTAATTATGATTTTGCTAAGATAAATTAGTTAACAATGAAGTATGCTTAGTGTTCATTGTTACTGTTGGACATTAAAGTGTAACAGTGAAACACAGGTTTTACAAAATATTGTATTCTTCACAAAGGTAACATGTCATCTAACCTAAAATTAGTGTATGTGACAGAACAACTAAACCTATTATGATTAGCATGAAAATAGATAGCATTAAAACATGAAGACGGAGCAATCACCAAAAATCAAGTGTACTTTATCTTACTAAGTTCTAGGAATTCATTTAAAGCAGACGAAATGATAAGTTTAATTATTTACTTAATTCAAAGTCTGAACGATTTTCTAACTGAGATGAATTTTCATTGACACCAATTAAATGTAAACATTGAACTGCATTACTGTGAAAGAAGCATCTCAAGAATAAACCGATGCTTATTTTAAGTCATGTATCGAAATCAGTTGAAAAACCGCCAATCACAATCAAGCCTTGATTGTGAAGCTTCCATTGTCTTCTTAGACAAAATCATCTGATTATATTGCAAAAAGACGCTATAAGTCATTCAGAACTGACTAACGACTTGTTCTGTTAACATAGGATTCTCGAATGTATTGTTCATCAAGTCTAATACGGGAGAAATTGGGACTCAAGTATGTCGGATAGTAACCTACAGTGATCAAATACTCATATATACTTCTTATCGAAGTATGTACTGATGGTACCGTTTAGTAGGATAATAAAAGCTTCATCACCCAGCTCATAGAATATACAACCTATAAGATCCTCTTACTGAGATTCCCCACTATGTAGGCAAATCTAACATTTATTTTCATTAGAATAGTTAACTGTTGGTAGGAAGAAAAAATTGTATGATTCGCAAATATTTTTCTACTATAATAAGTTTAAATAGAAGTGGTAGTGATTGATCTATTCGACTTTGTTAATATTGTATTATTGAAATATAGTTTTCACTACAAATTGATGTGGAAAGTTGTTCAGACCGGAAAATAACAGACAGCTAGTTCAAAGTGTTTCAAACTAAATAAAAACATTTGTGTGATTATATGTAACTATTGCAAACTTCTATCTCGTAGTTAGTGACAATCTCTCATTA